CCACTTTCAGCACAGTGGAGGGATGTGGGAACCAGCCAGGAGTGCAAATAGGTATTTCTAAATCCACTCAAAAGGGCACACCTCGACTAGGTTTATAAAAGCAAGTTAAAAATTGTAATAGTAAAGATATGTTACGAGGATATAGGATAGGTGAATACATCAGAACATGAGAGATACCACAACTGTTTAGCAGACAATTGGTCAAAGGAGTGACTTCACTTATATTTTTTAACAGGTTTTAGTTTGGTGCTAAGACTGGCAAGGCTCACCGACGCTGCAAACTACGATTCCGGTGAAGCCTCTGGGAATGTACCAAATCCATGGTTTTGACAAAGTTGCAAAAATAAGGTTAATCAACTTCTATGCAAAGGCTTGAAAAGTTGCTTTTGTTAGGTGTCAGGCGATATTATGGCTGAAACGGTTTTATAGTCAGAATCAGATTATGCCCACCTATTCAGCGCATAAATTTATTGTTATTATTTCCAACAAATAAAACAGCATAATCTAATGAATCAAGAGTAAATGGCCAAACCAATGAGTCAAAATAAAGCTGAGACTTCCAAGCAGAATTTACACGTCATTCTACACTTAATGTGGCGAACGAGGAAAAAATATGTTTACTAACTTTAACCATTGCACGAAACAGAGTCGATCCTTCGGATCATTAGACAAAACAATTCCAGTTCTCCTATGTTTGCCGTGTTGTTGAACACTAAGTGGATCCTGAGGTCCTTTAAATGTGATGGTTGCTGGGGTTTGATCATGTTGAATTCTTTGGTCTTGGTCTTGGTCAATCTGGCGATTGATTTGGAAGGACTCGGGTTGAGATGGTAGAAGGCCCATGCATTCTAGATTGATCAGGTGATATGGAAGGCAGAACAAAGTTAGCAAGAGAAAAAATGGGTTAAAAGAGTACATGTGTCATGCTGTTGGTGGAAGTCATCGAACAGGAAATTCTTTTAAGCCCATCTCCATAATTAAAGGCACACGTGTAAATATATATTTATTTGTTTATTTAATTATATTTATATTAGCAAGGGACTTCGAAGTACTGGGTTGAAGTTGTGTCTCTTTGCTAAGCGAGGATATTAAGCAAACTCAACTGCAATGCAAATGCTAGGTGAGGAAAAACCGATTTTTGCTGTCATAAATTGTCAGCATGGAAAGTAAGGCATTCACGTGAATCAGAGAAGAAATTTGCCAGAAATTTATATTTGGTACACGTAGTTAAAATATTCATATATGAAAAATTAGAATGATGAAATCCATCATAAAGGATATTTTAAAGAATAAATAATATAAAATCATAACTGTGAAGGAAGAAAGTTCTGAAACGCCAATAATTAAGTGAAGATATGAAGACCAAGATGTTGTGACCTCTGGTATGATCGCAGTCGCCAATAATTAAGCATTGCAAAATAAATAAACAAAATAATAGTTGAATAAGTAGACGAGAATTAGAATAAACTCAAAGGGAGAACTAATAGATTTATGGAAAAAACTCAGTGAAGAGGACAAAATAAAAAATAGAAATTCTAGAGGGGTGAAAATCTATGAACAATCTCATAACTGTAGAAAAACTAGTTTTCGAAGAATCCGTAATAAATTCATTTTACAGTAGCTTTCATTCTGTTTGAAGAAGCTGAAGAGGGATTGCTTTGGAGTTGTGATTGTAGATTTATGCGAATAGTTCCTCGGCGCACCACACTGCAACCCCGATAAATCCATATTGAGCCTTCATCTATTAGATGACGGACATTGTCAGACCAGGGCACCATACATTACGATAATGCATCAAGCACAAAGATAAGGAAGGTGGCCGGCTGCCATTCGTACTACTTTTTTTAGTTTGGCTAGGTCCACTTAGTAAGACATCGCATGATTTGATTACCGTCGTGCAAGCTTTGAAAAGGATAGGTGAACTACCGAGGAAGTGGGATATAAAGAGAAAATAACATTTTCCCCAGTAATGCCTTCTTTTCGGGAAATGTGGCAACGACTTCCCCAATCAGGCTGCAATAGGATTGCGTGCTGATGTGGTAGCGTCAATGTAGGCGAGACCTGTCGAACCACACATAAGATATTATCTGAACATATAGCAACCTGCAGAGATTTGTAGATGCAAGTCAGAACTGGCCGAAAGCTCAGCCCACACAGGACACCAGATAGACTGGTCTAATGCCAAACACTGGATAAGGAGACAATATCAGTAAGCGGAAAATTAGGGAACCCATATAAATTAACAAAACAGCCAACACCTTGAAAAGAAAGAACAAGTGTAGGAAATTAACTGGAAACTTCATGTGGCTGTAGTTTCCTCCCTTAGAGGGGGAGGGAAAAACAAGTAGCGCCGAGCAATAGAAGGCTAGATAAGCCTCAAATCTGATTTTTACTCTCAAGCCTCATGCATCTCACAGACAGTGCATACCAACAACACACGTGCAATGGAACGCAATTATATGCGGTACTATAGCATGACCAAACAAAAAAAGATAAGTGTAGTAAGGGAGGATACAGCTGTTCGGTCACAAAAGCATATATTTCATGCTTGAATTGCAGTCGCTTCATAGGTCCTCCGCAGTCACTTAACTTATCAACAGCATGTAGGAAAAGCATAGGATCTCCAACCAAGTCATGAGATGTCTCACTAAATTGATCTAGCCAAACTATAACAGGATTGCAGCCAGTCAGTTTTCTAGTATCTGTGCTTAGTGAATTATCATAAAGCATGGTGTCCTGCTCTGATGATGTCTGTGACATGACGGACGAAAGCTCAGCGGTGCGCCGAGGACCTATTTGCACAAATTTACAATCCAAGCTCTACGGCAAGCCGATGAGGTCAACTTACGAATCTTTTTCACCCACCTCTTCAAACGAAATGAATGGTACTCAAACATGAAGCACATAAATGTTTTCAGGACGAATGCACCGAGGATCAACAAGCAGGATAACATGGGTAAACATATGAGAAAGAATAAAGCCTTATTTTTCGTTTATAAACAAGTTTTCGAGACTACCGGTAGATCATATTTGTAAGATATATTTACCATATTTCGACAATGATGTGATTAGACCTTAAGTTTCCATTTGCTTCACATGGACTTGGTCTCCCTCAAAAGGTATTTTTATTCTGGGTAGACTACAATTTCGATCCCACTTAGGTCTTATCACCCTACTCAGAGATTCGAGCAGCGTATGATCTCAACGACGAATTCACTTAGCACCTTAAACTAAATAGGGCGAGTACATATAATACTATAGACTTATACTGAATAGTCCTTTAAACAAATATGCAAAAAATATGTAAGATACCTAGTTTGACATACCTTGTTTGATGTGCACAAGATCGCCTGGACAGAAGTCATGCTCATCAATGCTGTAGAACGTGGCCAAAAGGTCAGAAGAAGGAACTCGACGCGATATGCTGCCATCTTGCCAACGGACATCGTACGATTGCATTATCGTATGTAGGCCTGTACATATCCAGTCGCCAGGTCGGAGGTGGCCACGACGCGCACGCTCACTTTGGCGCTCAGCTTGAAGGCGCAGTCTGCGAGCAAAAGCAGGAATTCTAAAAGCTCTAGCAGAATTGTATTCGTTTTGTAAATCCAGACCCAAAATGCGAGAAATGCGGAAGTTAGCCGAGCCCCCCGGCTCACCTGTAGATTCAATCACGTTTGTTAACTGAGCGGAAGACACATCAGAGTTAGCTGTCGTCAAATCAGTGTTATCCATGCTTTTAATAATACCTTCTAGCTTGTCAAGAAGTAGCGGCAGCAAGTGATTTAATAGGTTATTGTTAGTTAGAATATCGGAATAACTAAGACTATTCGCCAAAAGAGGATCTGTGTTTTTTATTCGAGCAATGAGTGAACCCAAATCATCCTCGGTTAGAGCGATCTCGATTTGTGTGCTTCGGTCTTTTTTAGGTGAACGAAGATAATTTTTATTCTTTGTATTGACCGAACCGAATGGACATATAGTAAAGCTAGTCGCGGACAGAAGAGACTCATTAACATTTGACTGGTCGGCGACCATGTTGACCTTGAGTTTGTACCCATTAAGGTTTGGTAAGCCAAAACTAGATGCGCCTGAGGCAGAGTCTTTGACCGAAGGCATGAAGGATAACAAAACTTCGAAATTAAATGGACGAGTGCATATGGGGTCCAGCTTTGAATTTTCCTGACCATCTTCAAGATAATCTATATCACTTTCGTGGCAGTTGGTAACATCAAAATCTTCATCGCTTTCACTGCTAGATTCGAGCGGCTCAGCTCCATAGTATGGTCTCTCTAGACCCT